AATGCAGGAAAATCAAGAGAAACCCTAGATTGGGTGCGCAGAGAATAGAAATCTAGGCAGATTCGAGTTGCTCTGATACCATGTTATGATTCGGCTTGCCTTGGAGTTCTATTTGTTTGAGATCAATCACGTAGAGAGAGGTAGAAAGGTGCAAGAAAGAGAGAGAGAGAGAAAAGGAGAAAGTCTGGTTCGAACTGGAAGTCAAAAACCTTTCTCCCATTCGGCCAAACATGTGCTTTTATTATTAAAATAAATGGAAAAGACATGTGCCCTTATTTAAGTAAGGAGCACTAGTTCTAAAATAATATTACAGATCAGCAACCTTAATATAAGTATAAAGACAGAAATACCCCTTATGCTAACAGAAGGCCATTCACAACACCCTTCCTCAATTCCTCAATTTTATCAGGTATGAAGTTTGTTCTAGCAACACTGTTCATTTCTGGGAGGATATTTGGGTAGGAGACACACCTTTAAAGGATCTGTTCCCTTCACTATTTTCTGTTTCTTTGTACAAAAAAGAGGTGGTCTCAAAATTTGTCTTACCTTTGGGAACACCCTTAGATCCTACTTGGGATTTTGGGTTTCGTAGAGGACTTAGGGATGATGAAATTGAATCTCTTTCTGTCTTGTTTGGTTGTCTTAATCAGGTTTGTTTGGATCCCTCCAAGCCAGATAAGAGGGTATGGACTCCTAGACCCAATGGAACCTTCACTTGTGCTTCTTTCTTCAAGTCCATCTCTCAACTTTTTACTCACCAACCCTTTCCGTCAAAAGAAATTTGATGCAGGCCAATTCCCCAAAAAATTATGGCATTTTGTTGGGAAGTATTCCATGGGAAAGTAAACACTCTAGATAACCTACAAAAGAGAAGACCTTTCCTCTGTATTTCTCCTAATTGGTGTATCCTCTGTAGAGTTCACAGTGAGGATTGTTACCACCTATTAATATCTTGTCCCTTTTCTGCAGACCTTTGGGCTTGGCTACTTTCATTGTTTGGGAGTAGTTGGAGTCTACCAGCAGAAGTTAGCATGCTCTTCAACCATTCTACCTTTTATTGGCSTACAAAAATAGGGAGAATTATGTGGAGATGTGCTTGTGCTGCCTTGATTTGGACTCTTTGGGAAGAAAGGAATGTTAGAACTTTTCAAGAAAAGGAAAGGAGCAGTCAGGAACTGAAAGACTATGTGTTAAATAGGGCAATACCTTGGCTGAAGACCTCGGAAATCTTTCATCAATTCTCCTTTACCTTTGGAGAAATTGGTCAACAGTAGCGAGGTGTTCATCCCTAAAGGACAAATCAATTACAAGCTGGTCTCCTCCATCCGAATGCTCACTAAAGTTGAATTTTGATGGAAGTAGCATAGGTAATCCAGGATTATCCGGAATGGGGGGCGCTTTGAGAAATGAGAAGGGAGAGATTTTGTTGCTCTACTCAGGTCCCTTGGGAATTGGG